TATGTCTTGTAGGTGGTTTGCAGTTGGGATGCAGGGAAGACAGTGCTTTTTTCTGAAATCAGAGGTTCTACATTGTGGGCTCCAAGCATTCCTCACTACATGACAGCTTTATAGCAAGTAATCAGAGTGCTAGTACACTAAATATCAACCTGACCAGTGGTTCAAGAGTCTTTGGGAATGGCTTGTGGGAAGAGTTTTGGAAAGGTTCAGAGATGTAGCCTGAGAATATCTTAGGCTGGAATATCTTAGGCTGTTCTCTATGGGATATTATGGTCAGAACTCAATAGGCCAGAATACTGATAGAAATCCTGCCAAGAAAGACAAGTTTCAGGGGGTTTCTGCAGGGAAGAAGGACTGCACTGGTTATTGGACTGCAGATGATGTGTGTTATGGTTTGGCAGGAAGTTTGTCTGCATTTTCCTCATGTCCACAGACATCATATTACATTGACACAAACATGCCAATGTTTAAGGCATCACAATTCACAGTAGCTAAATTTTGGAAGAAGCCACATGTCCGTCAACAGATGGATAGAAAGTAAAATGTTATATCTTTACATAGTGGGATACTATTCAGCTATGAAGAATGACAAATTGGAGATATTTGTAAGAAAATGAAAATATAACATAAAGTGAAATAAATCATAAGTCTCATTTGAGTAGTCCAAACTGCAAGTAAAAAGCAAGTGGGCAATCAATAGGGGAAAACAGAAGGACAAATTTTGTGCAGATGGGAAGGGAACCAATAGAGTAAGAGCAGAAAGAAAGAGAAAGGGGAAGAGAAACTAAATTATGAGAGATAGGTCATGTACATGTATCACTACCACAATGAATGTAATCATTTTGTGTCACAAACATGAACCAACAAAGTAAAAATATTAAATGGGGGAAGGGCATGTAGAGACAGGGAGAGATGGTGCAGGCAGGGGAAAAGGAGTAAAAACAATCAAGATATATTAAGCATCTGTATATACTTCCTCAGATGAATGTAAGCACTAATAATACAGACAGATATAGATAGATAGATGATAGATAGATAGATAATCCTGACATTTGTGAACAACATGTGAATCATTGTATTTCATTTCCAATTATTTATGTTTTATTATAGTTTCTTATGTAATTGCATATGTAGGACTTTTTGTATGATGCTAAAGTAAGTGGTGGGAAGGAATATTCTTGCCTTATTCTTCATCCCACTAGGAAAGCCTCTGTGTTCACACCATTAAGTATGGTCTTATCTACAAGTTTTTGTAGATATACAACATAAGATTAAGGAAGTGCTCTTGTATTCCCCATCTACTGAGGGTTTTTTTATTATGAATGGGTGCTGAATTTTGTCAAATAGAAGTCCTTTATCTACTGAAATAATCATGTGATTTATTCTATTTTATTATGTGGCTGTGACAGATTTAATTTATTGGTTTTCCAATGTTGAACCAGCCTTGCATTCCTGCAATGAATGTATTATAGTGTATAATTCTTTTTAAGTGAGGTTGAATTTACTTGCTATGATTTTGACAGGCGTTTCTGAATAAGTGTTCTTGGGGGAATTTGGTCTGTGGCATTCTTTTTCACAATATGTGTGTGTTTATTTGTAGTGTAGAAGTGATAACCTCACAGAACAAGGCAAGAGTTATTACTTTTATTTCTATTACCTGAAAAAGATTGTAGAAAATTGGTTTAATTTCTTCTGCAAATGTTTGGTAGCATTCAACCATGAACATATCTGGTCCTGATGATTTGTGTTTAAATGGTTATTAACTATTCATTCAATTTCTCACAGAATCATAGCTATATTCCCATTTTCTGGTTTTTTTTCTCACTCAAGCACTGGCAGATAACATGTTTCAAAAAATTGGTATGGCTCATTTACTCTATCAAATTTGTGGAGGTATATTAGTTTATAGTATCATTTTCTTATCTTTCCAGTAGGTATATAGCAGCATCCTCTGTTTCATTTTTAATATTGGTAATTTTTGTCCTTATGTTTTCTTAGTTTGCCTAACTTAGTTCCTTTCAATTTTATTGACCTTCTTAAGATTCACTGTTCATTTCATCAGTGTTCTCTATTCAATTCCTATTTTCAGTTTTATTAGATTCTGTTTTAATTTGTTTTATTTAATTTTTTTCTGATCACAATGATTTAATTGCTTTTTTCTATTTGCTAATGTAGAATATTGATCTTTTATTTTAGATCATTTCTTTCTGTAACACACATTACATGCCTAATAACTTCCCTGAGTTACAGTGAGTTTTATGTTCATCATATTCCTTATAAGTAATAACAGGTGTTAATAGAAATAATTAATTGTATATTATTTTAGTAAGACTTAAATATGAGTTTTTTATGAGTTTTTCACACAGTATACACTATGCTTGCCCTTTAAATACAGGTTTAATGAGAATTCAGAGTTTTTCTTTAAGTCAATCACATTTGAGATTAAGTGGTCACTCAAAAATTATCTTTTGGGTGGACATGATTTTACTTCATTTTCACATTTTGTGAGATGGACCTCATTGTATTGTTCAAGCTGCCCTTGAACATCTGGTCAAAAACAATCTTCTTTCTTCAGCCTCCAGAGTGCCTAGGTCTACAGGCACAGGCAACTGTTGCCTGATTATTTTCCCAATTTTACTTTTTTATTTTAAAGATAAAAGAAAGAAAACATATTAACGAACACACATACATTAACAAAATAACACAAAAACAATACAAGCAACACAGAATTTCAGGCGAGGTGATGGGAAATTAACAATGGTTGTTATATTACATATTGGTATCTTCAAACTGGTTACTCGGATAAACAAATATAGAGGTAAGATTAATCAAACACTTAAACATTAACTGTTCCTTTCAATACAGCAATAAAAGTCAGTAGTACAGCTATGTTAGCTCTCCTGTGTATACCTATATACATATAGTTACCCTTCTTTTCTCTTTTCTCTCATCCCAGTTGTTCTTTCCTTTGAAGCAGTTTCCTTCCATTTCACAATATCTATTGTACCTCCTAGATTTTATTCACTCTTTCAGGTTCTTACACTAATGAGACAAGATGGTGTTTACACATGCAGGTCTGATTTATTTCACTTATGAGTATGGTCTCTAGTTGTGTCCATTTACCTATAAAAGCCTTGAGTATATTTTTCTTTATAGCTGAGCATCTAATTTAACTACTTTTGAAATATTAAAAAAGTCAAATTTTTCTTCGCCTTTATAGCTTCTCATTACTTTATTTTCAAAGACTGGTTTATTTATATTTTGGCTTGTATCTTCCCTTTATACTTCATACCTTTAATTATTCATCTAAAATGTAAATCAATATAAAAACTGTACAGGTTTTTTTTGTGTGTATCTATTGTTGTTACAATGGACAAGATTAAGCACATTTACTGTGAACTCATCTCTATTGTGTCGTAACTGTCCTTGTGCCTGACATGTCAAGTTTGGGAGAGCGATGTAAACACTGGGCTTTATTATCTGTTAAGAAGCAAACAAAAAAAATGAGCACCAAATCACATTATGTTATTTTAGTACATTTGCTAAAAACTTCTCTTTGACAAGAGATGTGCTTATAATTGTTTATTCCAATTCAATAATCAGCATCAGGACTTAAGATGAAGTGGAGTCTTTTAACAGCTACTAAAACTGGGATTCACATTAATATGGTAAAACGGAAGGATTTTAGATGCTCATGATAGACCCTTAACTTCTATACCTCATGTACACATATTCACTTGCTCTACCATCTTTAGGCATAAGATTTGATGAGCAGTTCTAACTTGTAAATCTAAATAACCCCACTTATTAGGCACCAAGAGAATAAAAACTGTCTTCACACAGCAACATTGGGTTCTCCCTAAACTCACTAATAAAATCACAGAAGTGCCTTATTTCCAAATAATAACGTTAATTTCATTCATTTCATTAACATTGTCAACTTTAAATAAAGTGTATCATATTATTTTTATTTCAAAATATAGTTTTTTTTCCTTGCTACTGTTCAGTCTCAGTAAATATTCTGTATCTCTAGTATGGTTAAATATTTTAGCACAATTTTGCAACCTCTATTATTTTATTTTCCTACATCTTAGATTTTCTGTTAGAGCTGAAATACATGACATAAAGTAGGTGCATATTTCAAGATATTATAACATTACATCTGGGGAATCTCATAAATATTATGCCAGCCATCTCACTAGCCAAAGAAAATAAGAAAAAGTAAGGTTATGATTTCATACACAAGAAAAGCCTCTATTTTAAAACATGTAATTTTTGTTACCCAATCCACTGATAAAATAAAATGAACAGTCTCAACACACTGAGTTAGTCCCTTCATCCTAGGAATGTCCCAGAAGCAGCTCAATATTTCATTGGGAATGTGTTATAGAATGAATTGAATACAGAGAATTCATTTCATTTATGGTTGATCACAAGTTTCAAGACATGTGTTCATGTGGGTGTTCTCCTTTCTATTAAACCAGTATGTAGACAGAGTTTGACATGTGGTTCACAGGCAGTAATACCAGAATTGAGCTCTCAAAAAAAATTTTTAGGAAAGCCATGGTCTATGACTAGGAACTCAGATTTGTAGTTTATTAGATTATCAGTAAGAAAATCAAGTGGAATTAGAGTACAAAAGATTGGTGAGAACAAATAAGGGAAAAAAGAGAATTTGAAGAATAAAGATTATTGGTACCTAATTATTTAAGTTCATCCCTATCTATCACTGACACAAAGGACCATGCTTTTTGAAATTATTAGTGGAGATAGTACATAGACAGATATAGATATAGATGAGATAGATAGAGATGTAGACAGAGATAGATAGAGACAGAGAGATAAAGATGAGAGAGAGACAGTGGTTGAAAGTTTTTAAGGTATATCTAACAGTATCTTATATATAATAGTATCTGCAGTATTTGGACATGATCATATTACATATCTACACTTATTCTGTCAAATTGTAACTGAAGAATCAATCATACTGGGCCATTCATTCACCCTTTGATTTCTGCTGTAATTTTAATATGCCATAACTTTCTCATGGCACTTTCCACCTCTGCATTTCTCAGTGTGTAGATGATTGGGTTGAGAAATGGTGTTCCGATGGTATAGAATATGGCCACCATCTTGTCCATGGGGAAAGTGGTTGGGGGACGTGTATATATGAATATATAGGGCCCAAAGAACAAGACAACAACAATGACATGAGAAGTGCAAGTGGAGAGAGCCTTCTTTCTCCCTTCTGCACTGTGGTTCTGGAGTGCACACAGGATGACAAAGTATGAGATCATCAGGAAAACAAAACTGCCCAAGCAGATGGCCCCACTGTTCGACACCAACAGCAGGTTGGTCATGCGAGTGTCCATGCAGGCGAGTTTCAACAAGGGCTGCAAATCACAGCAATAATGATCAATAAGATTGGGTCCACAGAATGGCAATCTCAACGCCAAGACAATCTGAGCTGTGGAGTGTATAAAAGACCCCATCCAGGCAAGCACGATCGAGATGAGACACACTTGCTTGCTCATGATGGTTGGGTAACTCAAGGGCTTGCAGATGGCCACATAGCGATCAACGGCCATGAGGATGAGGACGAAGATCTCCGTGCAGCCAAATAAATGGAGTGCAAAGACTTGCGTCATGCACTCGTTGTAGGAGATGACTTTATTGGCAGAGAGAGCATCTATGATTAGTCTAGGGGCGGTGGATGTTGAGAAGCAAGAGTCAGCAAAGGACAAATAGAACAGAAAGAAGTACATGGGGCTCCCCAGTGTCCGGCTGCCCTTGATGGTCACAATAATGAGCAGATTCCCCACCACCATTCCCACGTAGAAAATCGAGAAGATGAAGAACACCATGTTTTGCCTCAGAGGATCCTGGGTCAATCCTAACAATATAAACTCTGTGACACTGCTATTTAGTTGCATTGCTTCAGTTGACATTGAGAAATCACAGGTTGGACACACTTAACCTGCTAATAATGAGATAAAATAATTAAAGAGAAAATGCTTCTTCAAGCAAAGTTAAACATTATTTTAGGGGATATGGCATAAGTCGTAGGTGCTTTGTGAACTGTATGTTTTTTGTTAGTTTTAAGCAATAATCTGTTTATGTTAGTTAGAGGTGTTTGCAATATTTGAGTTCAGTAGCTTCTCATACCAGGGAGAGAGTGAAAGAGAGACAGAGACAGAGAAACAGAAAGAGACAGAGACACAAAGAAGAGAGAGAGAGATGAGAAAGAGACAGGGACACAGAGAGATAGAGACAAAAAAATAAGGAACACAAAAGTTTAGTGATGAAACAATGCAGAACACTCTCGCCAGTCCAGTCTAAAATAAGACTTATTTTAATTTCTTGCCCTTATCTAAATTTATTTCAAATTGATTGCTCAAAAATGTCACTTCTTTTGAGTTCTAAATTTAGCCTCTATTATTAAACACATTTTACTTTTCATTATACTGTGCAACACAAAATTAAATTCTTCCTGCGACTATTCACTGAGTCCTTCCACAATAACTTAGAAAGAGACACTAAGACATTTTCTACAAAGAAAAAGGGGAGATCAATTCACTTAAGTCAAAATACTCATTCAGATTTCAGGCTTTCATGTGGGCACTGGTATTCAGAAAATGATCTTGAGACTCTTCATGCATAACTGATAATTCCAATAGAATTCTAGGTATAATATTTAATACTCCATACCCTAAATTCAAGTAAGAGGGGGCAGGTACAAAAATAAAATTAATAATTACCTGTATTCAGTAAATAGTAACTAAATGTTCTTATTTAACTGTTATCTATATTCCTAATATCATATTGAGAACAAAATACATGTACCTAAATGGTGCAATACATTCATGACATATACACCAGTCAGCAGCATAATTTCTTTTAATATAAATCAGTTTCACACAGCAGTCTTAAACACAGGAGATTTGTAAAATGGGTACAGTTTTTTTAAAATGTTCTCATTAAAAAATGTAAACTTGCAAAAAGCTCAATTTCATTAACAGTTAAACACATTCAAATTAGAATTCCAAATGATTGTCTTTTGCACCCATCAGACTAATAAAACCATCTTTTGATAAATGTATTTCAACACACGGTCCTGGCACATGTGTAGCAATCAGTCAATTCTACATCAGTTTGGTAGTGGTTTAAGTGTTTGCAATTTCTTAGGGAGTGATTTCAAACCTGTACAAAAACAACTACAAGTAGAAATTGACCCACAGACTCCAAATCCCTCTGAGAGAGCTGCTCAGAGTCACAATCACTGAACCTTTCATAGGAGAGAAACAGGCTGCAATTTCACCTTTGACCAAGCGAGTGAAGGAATTAGGAATGGTACTTTGTGCAAATATGAATATGAAACAGATATGTTTGCCTCTATCCCGGGGATGGTGAACCTTTTAGAGATCGATCCCCAAACTTCAACCCAAAACCCACTTATTTATCACCAAGTGCCAACACTGCCATTAAACCCGAATATCTGGTGATTGGCTGTGAGTGTGGACAGAGAGGGTTCTGCGTGCCCACACAGCATGTATGCCACAGGTTCACTGCCACTGCTCCGCACCGTCTCTAAAATAGTCAACTGTGCCTTTATCTGAATAAAATGGAATGTATGGTGATTTTGCCATTTATGTATACTGGCCCTGAAATATGTTGTCTCTGACTTATGTGGTAAATTGAGCTTGTCTCTAGCATGTGTTATAAATGTTAATTCAAGGTTCCATTTGTATTTGCTTAGGATGACAACGTTTTCATTAACAGACTATAAACAAAATGCATTGAGAAATATATTCAGTGACTGAGTGAGGAAACCATTGCCATGAGAGATGAGAGGGAGGCTTGCTTTTGAAACATTCACTTTGGCAGCATCGGAAAATGTGTTACAGTGAAAATGTATTATGTACATGCACACACTGCCTGGGATGAATGTCATCATTATGTACTGCAAACACATACTAGTACAAAAACAGCTCTAAAATGTAAACTTTACCTTGGGAGACTGCTATTTACATTGGTATGACTCCTTCTCTTGGAGGCGCAATCGACAGCAGCATTTTTAAGACATTTTATGAAACTTGGTGCTCTTTAAAGCCATCCTGAAGCACCATGCTGCCATTGCCTGCAGGTTCATTTGCTTGGTCAAATGTATTAATTGTGGGAGAGCTTTAACAAATGAAAGGAAAATTATTTTGGAACCAATAGATTGAGTAATAAATTATATCTATCTTCTATCTAGATATATAGATCTGTATTTATATCTATATGAATAACACATAGACATCCTGACACATTTGTATGGCACACATAAATTATATATATGAATTCTAGGTAGAATAGCATGAAGCAGCATCACAGAATTGAGGTTTTCTAAAGATTTAAATCAAATACATCCCATACCATTCTATACTTAGCTGCCATTGAAGAAACAAAGGTCTTCACCCTTCTACATCCATAGCATATCGCACTTTCATGAATCAGTTCTTGAAATTCCCAAATCGATATTATTTCTGTTTAATTGTGTCTTCCACTTCAGCCTATCAATCAATAGCCATGCCTAGTAGTGTCCACTTCCATCAGGAAATTCCACAAGTGACTTCCACTTCCATCTGCTCATCTTAAGATTGTAAATCACTCCTAAACATCTTATATCTGACCACAATATATATATATATAATATATATCCCATAATGCCTTGTGTATGTTAGCTACTGAATTCAACACCAATCTGACACATTTTGTGCAGAAAAAAATACAAGTAATTTAATACAAATCTTATTCTATTTTTTGTTGAGATTAATGCATGGCTATGATGTTCACTTGCCCACTTTTCTTCCCAAAATGATTGAAAGGCTACTTACTTACTCAAATGAGAATTTTTAAAGTGCTTCTGTAATAGTGTGATTTTTTTGGAAACAGGATCTCTTTGATTTCACAAAGTACATATTCTTATCTACGTGCTAGAGGGAAACTAAATGGCTCCAGATTCACTCAGCACTTTCTGAAATATATGCTTACAAAGGTGTTCCACTGGAAAGTTTTTCCCTTTTGCCTTCCCTGGGCGTATATTTAGTGTGAATTGTGCACAATATAGGAGCATGGGGAAGTCCTTCCCTAAAGTATTCCTTCCCTTCCAATTAAGAATATGAGCCAGATGTAAGGAAGTTAATTTCCAGTGTGTGTTAGATTATGAGAATAATAAGTAGCCTATCCTACAATTAAACATATTAATTTGGGTGACGCATAAAACTTTCGGGCTAGAATAAAACACAATCATCGAGTGTTGATTTCTTTGTTTCCAATACTATTCTCCAAAACCATGCTCAGTGTCTTTTGAAGAAATTCCTGCTCGGAGATCTGGCCTGAGGATGTCCATGAACTGGAGCAACTTGTAATGTAAAGAAGAATGTGCAATGGCAGACAACTAATATAATAATATGGGCCCCACATTATCTCATCTGAGAATTTTTAATTTCCTCATTGATTTCTCCAAGGGACCACCAATCATTCAAAAGTGAATTATTTCATTTCCACCCATTTGTATATTTTTGTGGCTTTCCTTGCTGTTCATTTATTATTAAGTTATGATCCAAAATTGGAACAAATTTGTCAATGTTTCATATTTGCTAAGATGTCATTTTTGTTATGCTCATAGTAGTTGCTCAGAGTACAAGATGTAGGCATGAAACGTTGTCCAGAAAATTGCTAGCACAATACTTTTCCCTCAAGTTAAAATTTTAAACTGGAAAAAGATATCTTTTGGCCCAAAATATGACCCATTTTGGAGAATCTTTTATGAGGCCCTGAGAAGAATGTGTGCTCTGTACTTGTTAAATAGAATGTTCTGTAGACATCTGTTAAGTATACTTGATCTATTCTGTAGTTTAACTCTGATGTTTCTCTGTTGATTTTTGGTCTGAATGACCTATCTATTGGTGAAAATGGAGCATTGAAGTTACCCACTATTACTCTCTTGGGCCTATGTGTCCATTTATGTTGGGTGATGTGTTCATTTTTATGAAGTTGGGTACACTGATGCTCAATCCATACATATTTGCATTTACTATAACTCCTTGGTGGACTGCTAACTTTCCATATATAGAGAGTGGACCTTTTTGTCCAATCTAATTAATTTTGTCTTGAAGCCAGTTTTGTTAATATGACTTTAGGTACTCTTCTTTGCTTTGAGTTTCCACTTGCATGAAATAAGGTTTTCCACTTTTCAGTCTGCTTGTGTCTTTGCTAGTAAGGTGTGTTTCTTAATAACAGCATAGACCTGCGTGTTGTTTTTTAGTCCAGACTGCCAATCTGCATCTTTTAAAATTTTTTAATATTTTATTTTTAAAGATAAAAGAACCAAAATATATTAACAAACACACAGATATAAATGAAACAACATAAAAACAACACCGAATTTCAGATATAGTGAAAAGAAATTAACAGTGGTTGTTGTAATACATAGTTACTCAGATAAATATTAGTTACTTCATATTAGTTACTTCATATTAGTTACTCAGATAAATATAGACATGTAAGAATGATCAAACAATTAAATGTCAATTAAACAATTGAATTAAATGTTTGCTTCATAATTCCTTGTTTTGTTTCTCTTTCTTTAATAGTACAATTATCCTGGCCACCTTGTGTGTATACATATGTATATTTTTCCCTTTCTTCTTTTCTCCTTTCCCTCATCCCAGTCTTTTAATTGGTGAATTAAAACCATTTCATTCAAAGTTATTACAGACAAGTACTTGCTAATTCTTGTCATTTTATTGTTTTTAAAGTGTTACATTCTTTCCTATTTATCAGTAGTGTATCTATTCTTTCTCTTTTGTGTGAAGGATTCTTTTAAATATCTTCTGCAATATTGAGTTAGTGCTCATGGAATTCTTTACTTTATCTTGAAAAGTCTTTATTCTCTTTAAATTTCAAAGGATCGCTTTGGCAGATACAGTAATCTTGTTTAGAAGTTTTCTTTCGAGGCTTGAGTTACATCATTCTATATGTTTTCTATTCTTTCACAATTTTTGCAGAGAAATCTGAAGTTATTTTGATGGGTTTGCTTTATAAGTGACTTGGTGTTTCTGCCTTACAGCATTCAATATTCTTTTCCTGTTCTGTATTTTGCCATTTTATCTATAATATGACATCAGTAGGTTCTTTTATGATCATGTCTATTTGGGTTTATAAATGTCACCTGTATTTGGATGTCAATATCTTTTCCAAGGTCTGAGAAGTTTCTTGTTAATAATGAATTAAATTGATTTTTATAACATTAGTCTGAACTTCTGAGCCCTCTTTACACCAAAAGTTTGTAAATTTGGTCTTTTAACAATGTCCTATGATCTTAGATGTTTGATTCACAATTCCTTGTTCTGTTTCTCTTTCTGAGTGTCTGTGTATAACGATCTCTCAACCTGACCTTCTAGTCCTGGAATTCTGTCTCCTCCTTGATCCTTTCTATTGGTTGGTGACAGTTTCCACTGAGTTTCTTATTTAGTTTACTATGCTTTTCATTTCCAGAATGTCTGTTTCATTCTCCTTAGGAATCACATCTCTTTGTTGAATCGGTCCTTCCTCTCCTCATTGTCTTCCTTAGTTCATCAAGCTACTTATTTGTGTCCTCTTTGAAGTCTTTATTTTTATATTGTTACTGATGAATTGCAGACATTTAGAGGGGTAATGTTACTTTGTTCTTTTATACTTCTTATCTCTCTATATTGAGGTCTGCACACCTGTTGGGAGGAAATATTTTCTACTTTTATTTGAGGATCTTAGCAGTACCCAGCCTTCTTCTGAGGAATGGATCCCTAGTACTGCTCAGAGAGGAGGAAAAAACACTGCAGCAATGTTGGTGACACAAAGACAAGCCAGACATTAAAATACATACAAAGTAATTAAAAGCAGCCATGATATGAAGATTAATAATAGAACACAAATTCCAATAATAATATAAAGTAAAATGCTAAAAATTAATAAAGTTAATAATAAAATATGGAGGAGGTAGGGAAAGATAAATACAGATGAAGTTAAATGTGAAAAAAAAAAGAAATACAGAACCAGAAGATGAGAAAGAGAAAAGTGGAATAAAACTCCAATTAAAGGATTAAAAAGTTAAGATGTGCTATGTACATGTATCAGTCCCCCTAGGACTAGAATCATCGTATACTGCAGACCTGTACTAATAAAAAATAAAATTGAAACAGAAAAAAAGAATTAAAAAGTAAATAAAATTACATAGGAATAGAGGAGAAATCAATAAACAAGAAAAAACAAAGGCCCAAAAAATTAAAGGGAAAAAATAAGTCCAAAAAAGTCCTCCTTCTCAAGGTGGTTGGTTGGGTAATTTCCTACCAGTTGTAGTCGGGTAGTTTCCTTGCGGTATTGGAATCCACCGAATACGAGGGATGAACAGTGAACCATAACTGGGCTTGCTGTGTGTCCACATCCGCTGAGCAGGCTTTTCTGTGTGCATGCTGATTCCTGCCTATCTTTTCTGCTGGGCTGGGTCAGTCAATGGTTCCTTGACTGCCTCAGGGTTTTACTCTTTGTGTCCTTTGTAACACCCAGATCCACTGCTGATCCTGTCTAGAATTGCAGCCTGCTGGCTTGTGAGGTCCCTCGTTTGCTCCAGGAGCCCCTCTGTCTATACACTCAGGGAGATGCCCAAGTACAGGTGGGGAAAGCCAAAAGGCCACTAAGTTCTGTGCTGGAAGAAGGAAATGAAGAAAGCCAAGGAATCTACCAATCCCAGTCTTCTCTAATGCAGCCCCCTTAGAGAAGCACACACCATGGTCCTTGGTCCTTACCACAAAGGAAGATGCTGTCAACCACTACGTCCAAAGCCTGAGTTCACCATGGCTTAACCTTCTCAGGGGCCCTGTAACAAGCCCTCTCCTTTTCCACAACTTCCTCTTGAGGCTGTGTGCCACCCAGTCCCTGTGGTAGAATGATACAAGAGACTCTAAAGTGTGATTGTTTTGTGACTTCTAGTTCCTGGAGTAGCTCAGTCTTAAACAATAAGCCCTTCACCAAATGGGCCCTGATTATACTACACCTACACATGGTGGCACTGCCGTAGTCATGCTTCCATGCCTACCATGAAGAGGAAGCCAAATTCAGAGAAAAACACCACCTTGTATTGCAGCTTACAATACCCATGGACTTTTCCGCCCGCTGGTGCGGCCTGAGTGTTGTCTACTACTGAGACTGCTGGTTCTCTTGGTTCTTTCCAGTCTCATTTTGTGCTTGTAGAGTTAGGTTCCTCTCCTCACCCTGGGAGCCCATGTTAGCATCCAAGACTGCTTCACTATTTTCTCTGAATTGATTTCTGTTCTTGTAACTTCTAGCTTTCCTGTTGGCTCTTTCTTGATTCTTGAAGTTCTTCTCTTTAAGTTTTCTTAGTCATTTTCCAGATGTCTCAACTCCAGGTCCAACAGAAGGTGTGACTCACCACTACACTGTCTTGAAGCTTCTAAAGACAAAATTAAAAATAACTCCAGGATTGTGGGTGTATCTCAGTGGTAAAGCTGGTGGTTAGAAGCTTGCAGCAGAGATCCTTTGGAAGGCTGGTCTTGTGCCTTAGTCAACAGATGAGCAGGCCTAGTATGTGCTTCTGTTAATTTTTACTTGAAGTATGGACCCCCTGAGAAGGATCTGACATCAGGCACACAGAGATGAGCTGGAGTCTATGTCCAAAGGGGCCAACTTGAAGCCTGGGCCCATGACAAGATCTGACACTTTGGAGTGGGCTTTGAGCTCCTGTCTGCTGAGGCTTCCAAGCACTGAGATAGCAACAATGATATGAAAATTAATAACAGAACATGAATTCCAATAACAATATAAAGTAAAATGCTAGAAATTAATAAAGTTAATAATAAAATATGGAGAAGGTAGGGAAAGGTAAATATGAAGAAGTTAAATGTTAAAAAAAAGAAATACAGAACCAGATGAGAAAGAGAAGATAAAAGTGGAATAAAACTCCAAATAAAGGATTAAAAAGTTAAGATGTGCTATGCACATGTATCAGTCTGAGAGTATCTACTGAGATACTGAGAGTATTCTGTAGGCTGAACTCACATATGCTGGGACTATAATATGGGGTCAGGATGGTCTGCACTGTACTAGACTTCACTGGGGCAGACACAGTTTTAGGTTCTGGGCAAAATGTCCTACTAAATTCCTATATTTTCCCTCCACTTCTCTCCATTTCTGGGGTCATGGAAATGAAAAAAGTAAAACTTCTTCCTACCTTATTTCAGTGTATCTCTTCTTATATCTGACCTATATACTTGGTGCTCCAATCTCTCCCCTGGTTTGTTTGCTTAGCTCCTGTGAAGGTACGTGTATGTGGGTAGTTGTTCAAGCTGCTGCTTCTCTGTGGGCATGAGTGCTGGGAAGCTTTATTTCAACATTTTTATGATACTATTACCCCAATTTGAGAATTCTGATTACTACAATATCTCACCAATAGGGTACTGAGGATTAATTACAATAATTTTAATCAAATAGTAAATAATTAGATAAATGCATTACATAATTACATTGCATTCTCTTATTTTAGAAACATAATTTCATAATGTAAATAATTACAAAGCACAACACATACATAGTGTGATCTAAACCCAATGTACTTACATTTTTTTTAAAAATTGTTACAGCAAAAGACACACTGATATTAATCCTCTCAAAATACTCCCCTTTCCCTCCAACATATTTATCCCCTCATCCTTGGGACTTTATGGAAAAGTCGTGATGTCCTTTCTAATGTCCCCAGTTGCACTATCATGACTTCCCAGATGTCCTCAATCAGTTCATGGTCACTTTTCAGAAGTTGCATAGTTCCACATCCAGTAAATGAATTGGATAAGGACACACAGTAATGTTTTTATTTGACAGCAATTGACACAAGCATTTGATCAATGCAGGCTGGTCAGAAATATACTGAATATATCATTTTAAAAAATTTATTATACTAAAAGGCACATTGCCTTTAATCTCCATTGAAATACTCTCCTAGCATTAAGCACACTTATCTAATTGTTCTAGGAAATGTGCCTTTACTGTAATAAGATTTTTATAAATTAAACTTTAACTTATATTTATCAACCATTGGGCATTTTCACAATTCTTTATTTTTTGATCTGTAATGGATACGTCAGAAAAGAAGTGCTCAGGACTTCTCTCTACAACAAAAGTCTAAGTCAAGATTTCTGTTTTCTAAGTCAGGGCACAGCTGCTAAACCATGAAGTAAGTTTAGCTTGTCTTGATAACATTTTGCCCAAGTCCATTATATTTAGGATTATGGTGGACGGAGCGTACAAGAACTGAGAAGGAAACGGAGATTAACTGGTCTGTGTCCCATGGATACGGACTCGGAAAAATAAACAGAAAGTGAGAGATGGGTCTTTTCTCCCCAAGTCTAGTGACTTTTGAAGGTAGCACGCCTCCTCCCGGGCCCTGGTGCATTCGATGACACTGACTCTGGATAGAAGACTGAACAAGGGGCTTCAGCAGCAGAGACTTGGATGCCTTTCAGACAGTTTGTCTCGGCACCACACTTTCCTCATGGCCTTCTTCATGTCCGCGTTTCTCAGTGTGTAGATGAGGGGATTGAACAAGGGGGCAATCATGGTGTAAAACAGAGCCAACACTTTGTCATCGCTGGTGGATTCAACCGTGGGGGCGTAGGTGAAGATAAGGGGCAGGAAGAACAGGAACACGACCGTGATGTGTGAGCCACAGGTGGAGAGGGCTTTGCGGCGGCCCTCGGAGGAGCGGGTCCTCAAGGTGGACAGGATGATGATGTAAGAAATCACCAAGGCAACAAAGGTCAAAATGGACAGCACCCCTGTGGTGGTAATGATTGTAATAAACAAGAGTCTTGTATCAGTGCAGGCCAGCTTCAGCAATGGGAACACGTCACAAAAATAGTGATCTATCTGATTGGGGCCACAGAAGGGAAGTTTGATAATGATCAATACATGCATGAGTGAGTGGAGAAAGGCTCCAATAATAGAGGCCATCACAAGGACATAGCACACATGTTTGCTCATGATGACCGTATAGTGAAGGGGTCTGCAGATGGCCACATAACGATCATAGCCCATGATCACCAGGATGAAGATCTCAGTAGCACCAAAGAAGTGGGCATAAAACATCTGGGCCATGCAGCCACTGTAGGAGATGGTATTCCACCGAGCCAATAAATCTATGATCAGTTTGGGGGCCACCGTGGAAGTGAAGCACATGTCCATGAGAGACAGGTAGCTGAGAAAAAAGTACATGGGCTGTTGGTGAAGGTGGCTGCCCTTAATGGTGAGAAGAATGACCAGGTTTCCTGAGAGAATTGCAAGATAGCACAGTGAGAAGAGCACAGAGCAGGTGGCCTTTACGTCCTTGTTGCTAAAAAGACCCAGAAGTATAAATTCTGTAGCATTTTCATACTCCATTGCTTCTGTGGATTTGATTGCTTAGAAACAGAGGAGAATAAACCTGAAGAACTATACTTTTTGAAACCACTGATTTATTTTCAAAGTCATTTGCTTACCCAATAAACCTATGTTGACTATATGTTCTGATTCAATCAATATAATTGGAGCTAGGAGAGCAAAACTTAATGCACTAGGTAGAATACCATAACATAGTACTAACATAACACAGTAACACAGAGTACAAACGCAGTAAGAATAGTGCAAAATAATTAATTGCAAATGTGATGAATTCCAAAGTCTTAAACTTACCTTGAGTAACAAGGTGAATAAGTTAAAAAATGACGCACAGTTTTTAAGTTGAATTTTGAGATGCAGTTAAGTATTACAGTTTAATAGAGGTTTCTGAATCCCCACTATGCATGATCAGCCAAGGGTTTATCTATTCTTCAAAGGTCAGAAGACTATTACAAATCTTGGTCTTTCCCTATAAATAAATCCACTAAATTCTGAATCTGTGATGATGTCTAGTGACATAATACTCCAGTCGATGCCTTATGTTAGATGTTGAACCTCTCAGTAACCATCTCAGACAGTGCCTTTAGAACCTTTCCTTGTTTAAAAGAGAATAAAAAAATAAAAAAATAGCAACATAGACAAAAACAGCACAGAAACAATAAAAATGATACAGGGCTTCGAAACAAAATGATAGGAATTAACAGTAACAGTGGTTGTTACATTACATATTGTTACCCTCAATGAAGTTGCTCAGATTACCAGATGTGAGAAAGCATGATTGATCAAATCATTAAAGAGAATGAAAAATTAGAAACGATACAGAGCTTCACTAAACAAGATGGTAGGAATTCACCAATGGTTGTTATATTGCATATTGTTGTCTTCAAATTAGTTGTTCAGATTACCAGATATAAGCATGCAAAATTGCTGGGATAATTGCACTGCTGATGTCTATTGTTTTATTGAAAGGAACAGTTAACGCTTAAATCTGTTAAGAAACTTTCCTTAAACATTTCTTTTAACACACACAGGGAGAGGAAAAGCAGTAAGCGGATCTTTCAAGAGAAGGGTTGGTCCACTGTTTGCGTTTTTAGCACTGTTGTGGCTTCCTAGAATTTTCCGTATTTCCCAGCCTCTTCTTCAGTGTAATGCACAAGCCCTCGGAGCTTCACCATGGCCATGTTTTCCTTTAATGATAGCACAGTTGGGGGGGACAAATTGCATCCAGAGATTTTTCTTCACTTCATCCATTTCACCTTCTTTGTCTCTGAATTCAACACATTAAACCTCATTTTGGTTTTTGGTTTTTGGTTTCTTTAACCAGGATCACCGTACAGTCATGAAGCCAAGTCCTAGAAAATGTCAGTGAAAAAAAACAAAATATTTAATGCAAAATAATATGCTCTGTCTTTTCCTGCAGCTAAAATATCTTGATGGAAAAGTGTGACCCACAAATACTAAACCCAAGTCAGTTTTTTTTTTTTTAAGCACTCATTAATGGAAATTTATCCGCATATTTGTGAACTAGAACAAGGAGTTTTAGTTCACTGGTCTTTGCAGTGTATGGAGAAAAAGTTTTAGGAAAACTTTCAATCTGCAAAGAGATTTTGAATAGGACTTAGATAGTTTAAAATCTGATTTGAAATCAATCCATGGACCTCAAGTTAGTACCTTCAGGCATAATTTTTTTGGCAAAATCTCAGTGTGTCTTATAAGAAAAAGTCCAGTTGTGATGGACCTGAGCTGCAGTGTGGATTTTTTAAGTAAAACTTTTAAAATTATTTGAACTTTGAGCCATCTCTGGAAATGGAATCCTTTCCCTAACTGTAGAATTTTATCAAAATAAGAATATTAAAGACTGTAATGATACTTCTCTACTATTTGCTTTATGGTTAAGAAGTAGAATTATAACAAAAAATTGCTTTCTCTAAATGAATCAATATAGTTATGGTTAAAAATAAAAAAATTTTTTTATACACATGTAAATGCCACACACAACAAAAGTGTGAAACTGGGAGACAGGGTAGCCGGAAGGCGGTGGCAGGAAGGAGCTGGTGAAAATGTTGCATGTACATGGACACATCTGCCAGCAGGGATCCATTCATCTCTATAGTCAATAAAAATGTGAAAAAGTAGTAACCCCTCCTAGTAACTATGAAAGGATGCTAAAAATGTTTTCAGTCAAACTTGAAAAGCACATTGCAAAATTCAGGAACAGTTGATATACATCACGGTTAAGCTAACTTTTTAAAGAGAACAAAATGAATGTGCATTCCTTTTCAGATACTTAAGTATCCTATAAGTCTCTGACCAATGAAGAACTTTTAGAAGAAGCAGATGGAGGTGCTCAAAGATCATCAATAAAAATATACGAGTATATTGTATTTGAAACTATATTCCAGTTAAAATGGCAAAATATTGAAGCTTTTGGTAACTGATGCTAGAACCTTGAATTTTTACCTAAAAAAATACCTTTCCCATTGGTCACAAAGTATTATATTTAACATGGCTGAAATATACATACATATCACACAAAATTATTTGAAAAATACATACTAAAGGATGAACTACAGAGGAGAAAGAATTTTTACCTGAAAAACATTTAAAGAAATATGTAATGAATTTAAATCTTTTATATGAACAAATTCCATGTGAACAAATTATTTATAAAAGTGAGAAAATGGTTATATATAAATATATATATGTGCATGTATATTCTACAAATCTACCATGTCACCTATTTATATATATATAATATGTATATATATTATA